ACTTACTTCTCACTGATTTTTCCTTAAAGTGTGCCTCCTCTGAATAAAATATAGCTATGAGATACCTGGATTTTTTTTTTTTTAAAGATTCATTTATTTGACAGAGAGAGACACAGCGAGAGAGGGAACACAAGCAGGGGGAGTGGGAGAGGGAGAAGCAGGCTTCCCCCTGAGCAGGGAGCCCGATGCGGGGCTTGATCCCAGGACCCTGAGATCATGACCTGAGCCGAAGGCAGATGCTTAACGACTGAGCCACCCAGGCGCCCCTGGATTTTTTTTTTTTTTTTTTTAAGATTTATTTATTTAGGGGCACCTGGATGGCTCAGTAGGCTGAGCATCTGCCTTTGGCTCAGGTCATGATCCGGGGGTCCTGGGATCAGCCCCATATTAGGCTCCCTGCTAAGCTTCTCCCTTTCCCTCTGCCCTTCCCCCTACTCGTGCTCCCCTTCTCTCTCAAATAAATAAAAATACTTTTTAAAAAGATTTTTTATTTTAGAGAGAGAGCACATCCTAGCGGGAGGGCCAGAGGGAGAGGGAGAGAGTATCTCAAGCAGACTCCACACTGAGTGTGGAGCCCAATGCAGGGACTGATCCCAAGCCAAAACCAAGAGTCGGACACTTAATTGATTATGCCACCCAGGCGCTCCAAGATACCTGGGTTTTTATTAACAAAGTTGTTTGGAAAAATAATTTGACAGGAATAAGAATAGATTGGCCATATCAACCCCAAAAAGTTAAGCCGTGGGGGCAGGGGTTACCTAGCTCATGTAGTGTGCCTTAATATGTATATTCCTTGGTCAAAGGACACATAGATTAGATGCCTTACTACCTGAAAACTAATCACCTACAAAAAGTTTTCTATAACCAATAACTGAGATCATTGTTTTTAGAGATAATGACCATATGCCAGGTACTGCTCGAGGATAATAAAGGAGAACCTGCCTCTACATTCAGGTTCAGAAAAGACGACAAAAATATAAGCACGCAGTTAAAATTTAATAGGTTAAATAACAAATTAAAGTTGCCCACACTGATATGAGACAAAGAAGAATGAGCCTGGAAAAACAATAGTGCCAATAAGAAAAAGAAAGTGAGACAGCAAGACTTGTTTGAGGGACTCTGGGTTAAAAAACAAATAAGAAAAAAGACTATAAATAGTACTGGACATCTACAATATACCAGATAAATTTGGTTTCAGCCAAATGTTGAGATAGTAACACACCTGGGTAGAGATGGTCAGTAGGCAACTGGAAATGCTAGATGAGAAATTAGAAAAGAGAGTAGGCATGGTAAAGGGACATTAAAACCAAGGGAAAAGATTCAAGAAAAAGGACAGAGGATTGACCTTGAGGGAAATACCATGACAGAAGACAGAAAAAGCACAGAAAGTTTCTGAAACAAAGAACACTTTTATTTGATACACCCAATGACATGTGAAAGTTTCCCAATTTCGGAAATAGTGGATTCAGGAATAAGTGCAATGAAAAGAAATAAAAGTACTGGTGAAGGGAACGAGAAGACAAGTGAGGTTTTTCTAAGATAAGCAAACCTAGGAATGTTTCTAAGGAGAGGGAAAGGCACAGAGAGGGCAATGATGCAAGCAGCAGAATCACTGAAAGAGCCCCATCCCAGACAGGTGGAGCAGACGGGCAGAGCAGTTGTGAGCCTGAAGGAGGTCAATTCTTCCTGCAGCGAAAAGAACGGGAGGAAAGCCTAGGTAGAGACAGAGGAAGAGTATGCAGTGGAAAGGAAGGAAACTCAAATGCTTAGATCAGATTGTTGTCTATCTTTCTGGTTTAAGTAAGAGATTAGGTAATCTCTGTGAGGCTGAGGGGTTTCAAGGACGGGTGGAAGAGTCTGAGAGTAGAAAAATAGTCTGGAATCACCAGTGCACACAAACACAACACAAGCAAGGTCATCAATGATGTATTACGAGTCTGGATGGGGTTAGAGAGGAAGCATTTACAAAGAGCAATGTGGAAAAAAAATTTTTTTAATGCACTGTGAGCATGTTTTTTAAAAAAGGAAACTTGAACCTATCTGAAATATACACATAAATTAAGAACTAACACCTCACTTATCCAAAATGGTTGGGTAATAAGGTGTTAACACCAGTCAGTTTCCCAGATCATCAAGGTCTACCCTTTCAGGCAAAAACATTTTATACTTAATGGTTTCCGATAGAAATCCTTCTAAACTACACATGATCTGTCTTCTTAACTATGCAACTTGAGTCTCAATCTTAACCACCTACTCCTGCTGTACTGCGTGTTCTCTTTTTTACAGCTCTCCTAGGTCTTTCCCAGCTGTCAAGATAGAAAGCAACTGGTTCTTCTAAGTTTATGTTTATCCTTACCACCTCAACAACCGCAGCCCACTAGCTTAGCAACCTGCTTGTAGTCAGCCTCCTACAATGCAGTGTTTCTCCAGCTTTCCTAAACCATGGCCCCTTCCTTATGTTAAACATGAGAATCTTCAGTTCCCTTCCGTCCTCTCCCAGAGCATCAGTGCTCTGACCTCTTGCGGTCCAGGAAAATGGAAAAACTGAAACAACTTTCTAGTCAATACTGACGCTACCTATAGATTTAGATCATAAAATTCGAGGAAACACATTCCCCACACGTCCACCTAGGACAGTCAAATATTAATCAAAACATGAGAAGGTTTGGCTTAGCAAACAGCCTTAACAAAAGGGTAGTTACTCTCACGGGGGGAAGAACAGGGATTACAAAAGGCCATCTGAAGGCTGCTGCCTTTTGAGTAATCTTTCTTCTAACTTTTCAAACTGACTTCTTAAAAAATCACCATGAGAATACTTACAGGTTCATTGCTCATTTTCGTAAGTAACCCAGAGCACTAGTGCTGCAATTTTCAACCACAATAAATGAAAAGTTAGAAACCTCTCCCTCTTTGTTTACTACAGAAATTATAACTCACAACTACACGTTATTTGGAGTGAAGTTAGGAGAGAAAAGAGCAGCTCTCTAGTACAAACGGATCACTGAAGTAGCAGCAAAACTGGCTTAACTTCTTAACAGTTTTGATAATCATTCAGGTAGTGAAAACATTGATCCACTTGCTACTCTCATTATTTCTCAACTCTGAAACCTTTCCTAGTCCAATGGAACTGCTAAGGAAATATGAAGCCCAGCTCAGGTGTATCGTCATCCTTCTACGTGAGGGCTTCCCCGGGCAGCCCGATCATATAAGCCCCTCCACCTGGCAAGCAAGTTCTTCCACCTTTTCTAGCCAGGATTCCCACCGCCCTCTCACCTTCACCATCGACTCCTGCCGAACTACAAATACTTGCTGCTTTGTTTTTAGTTTTGTTTTTTTCCAAATACTATTTTGTGAAGAAGCTTCACCCTTGAAATGCCCTTTCCCGAGGCCCCACCTCTGCTTAACAAAGTCCTACCCATCCTTAAGTAACCTCAAAATGTCACCTACTTCAGAAATCTTTTCCTCATGCTCCAAATAGAAACTCTGCCTTCCTCTGAAACCCCAGTTGTTCGTTGTACCTTTTCCGCAGCACTTGAGTGCGATTCACCACGTCTCCTCCGCCTCTGAACAGTGAACTTCTTGCAACCACCGTGTGCATTACAAGAACCTTTCTAATCTTTCTTATCAGCCAGCACAGCCCATCGGTAACACTGGGTTACAAGTTTACTGGGGAGTTGTGCAGTATGCAATCAAAAGTCCTTTAAGGGACAGAATGCTATCTAAGAAGTTTTCAAATCAAATAAACTAAAAAACATGGCAAGCAGATGAATAAAGACTGCAGCACTAAGAAAATAAACTTTCTGCCCTTCTTACTCCTCAAAAATAAGTTAATACCAACAGATCACGAATAGCTTAAATGGACCTTTTCAAGAAAGTTGTTTTCAAATAAATGAGCTGAAAAGACTCCTTTAAAAATGTATTCGTTTTCGTGCTGTGCAAATTACACTTTGCCCCCTGTTGGATAAAAGAGTGATGAGAACTTCTTTCCTATCGAATTTTATTTTTCTTTCTTTATTCGGGTACTAGAGAAAGCAGTGAGTGTTGGAAAACCGCATCTAGGGCACCATAATAGCCACGTACGACGTTGAGTAAAAATAAAATGTCGTGGGGTTCCATTTGCCGTAGTGAGCCCAGATGTCTGGGCTGCCACCCGTCCCGACAGCCCCCGTGTTGCTACAGGAGCGGGAGAAAGGCGCGGGGCCAGGGACGCTGAGGGACGAGATGGCCGCCTGCGGCAGCTCAGTTAAAATGCAGCGGAAGCAGCAGCCAGTCACGGGGCTGCGGGAGGGAGGGCAGCAAGGTGGCGCTGCCGCCGAGCGCCTAGAGCCTGAGCGCCCATCATGGCGGCAAGGGCAATGGCCGCTGCGGGGAACGAGCACGCCCCCTCCGCGCGCACACGCTGCCGTGCCGGGCCTCGGGGGCCCGTCACCGGAGCCGCCGCCGCCGCCGCCGCCGCCGCCGCCCGCTCTCCGACCCCCCCTCACGGGCTGTAGCGGAATTTTCTCCTCAGACACCGCCTTCAAGATGGCGGCTCCCCCTCCCGACAACCCCCTTAATCGTCCCCTGCAGCAGGCGCCGAGCCGCCGCCATCTTGTCCCCCGTCCCTCCCCCCCTCGCCGATATTTACATAGCGAAAATCGGCCCGGCCGGCCTGCGGCCTTCACCTCACGCCTGCAGCCTTCGCCTCCTTGCCAGGCCTCGCCCCCGCGCGGTGCCCCGGGCAGGCCGCGGCGCCGACCCGACGCCCCTCCGCCGCCTCCCGGGCCACCGGGCGACCCTCCCCCAACCCCCGCCCGTTCACGGAGCGCGCCTCCGCCGCCGCTCGGGGCAGCCGGGCTCCTCCCCGGGCCTAACTGCGGCCTCCTCGGGGCCTGCTCGGCGCCACGCGCCGCACCGCCCGGCCTAGCGCGGAAGGGCGCCTCGCGGGCCGCCGACCAGGCCGGGACCAGGCCGCTGCGCGCGCGCTAGGCCCCACGGCCGCGGCGGCGCCCGGAACTCACCGGACGGACGTGCGGGCGGTCGGCGACGGTGGCGGGTGCTGCAGGCCGGCCTTTCTCTGGAGCACTGGGCCGGGCTCCGGCTGGTGGGGCGGGCGGAGGGAGGGAGGAGGGGCCGAGCTCGGAGCTGACAAAAAGCGGCCCAGCTCCCCGGCACGGGCCCGCCGTCAGCACGTCACGTCACCGCCCGGGAGAGAGACCCAGGAAAATGCGGAAGGGTAGATAGGCCCCCTCCTCCGCCCGGTGTGTCCCCTTGGCGCCCCGGGTCGGCGCCGCTCACGCTCCGCGACCGGGGAGCCCAGTGGCCTCGCTGCGGCGGGGTCTCCGGCGGCCGGAGTCTCCGTGACAGCGCCCCCCTTCTTTCCACCTCCTCCGCGCTCCCGCCCGCCGCCGCCGCCGCTACACACGCGCCGCTGCCGCCGCCTCGGCCGTAAAGCCCGCGCGGGGCCGCGGTCCTCCGACCCCGTGGAGAGGCGGGCGGCCCGCACCCGACCGGCCTGGCCGCCCCCCACCATCTCCCGTGGGCCTCGGCCACCCCCCGGGCCCTCCCCGGAGACCTACCGCCTCTCCGCGCCTGTCTCGGCCGAGGCGCCTGCTCGAGTTGTTTGCAGGCCCTCAGACCCCCGCCCGCAGTAAATGTGTTTTCTTCATCCCTGTGGCTGGAGAAGATAAATTTAGCAGTCCCCGGCGTCCCCTGCCTTGGCTTAAAAAAAAAAAAAAAAAATCTTTGAAATAAAATGAAAATAGGCTTGCCAGTCTAAATGGGTGTGTGGGCACGAGGAGGGGGAGAAGGGTTATCTTACAGCTACTACCAAACTGTTTAATTTTTTTTTTTTTAACAAGCAGTCAGAGGACCTAGCTGATTTTATTAGTTTGCAGGATACAAAGATGAGAAAAAGGGTTACCTTTTCAGACTGGTTTCGCACATTGCAATGAACCGGAATTTTTAATGTATATTTTCTATATATCTGTATTTCAGAGTTTGGGAGCCTATGAAATTTTAAGTCTTGCGTAATTGTTTCATAAGTAATGAGTTTTTCACAGTCTTTAATATAGAGAGGTAGCAGAATTGAGTATGGATGTTTTTTACAAACTACTTAAGCCTTTTAAAGTTTAAAAAGACTTAGGAGAAAAAGAAAAATACGTATTTGATAAACAAGCATTTATTAACTCCAAAAATGCGTATTTGCGTTTCCATTAAATTTGTATGCTCTTTCCATACTGAACTTGGGACCCAAACTATGTTTACAACTTACTAGTTAAATGTTACGCATTGTAATCCTTACATTAATCCAGAACCTGACATGTTTTATTTCTTCAATTCACAAAATGTTAAAGAGATTTTTAAACAGTAAAGAACACAAAGGTTATAAAGCAAATAGCATACCGGTGAGACGTCTCTTCAAATACAGAGGCCATGTATTTAGGGTCCTGTCATAACTTTTTAAAACTCCCAGAATGCAAGTTGTCCATTCCCTCAGACATTTTACAGTTATAAAATGCTTTCAAGAAGGAAAAACAAAGGTATAATAACAAATCTCTGAGGACATACTGGATGGTAATTTTCCTCTCCAGGCTTTACCTTTGGTGTTTTTGCAAGAGATTAAATTTCCTTTCAAAAATGATGAATGACAACATGTCTTCAACATTTCTAGAAAATTGCATTAGGTTGTGATACAGACTATTCACAGAAAGGTAAATAAAACTAGTATTTGTTCAAGTAAAATATGGGAAATAGCTTGTGTGTGCACACTAATATAATTTCAAAAAAATGATAACCAGTGTTTTAAGTACTTTCCAAGGGCCTCCATTTAATGCTATGGTATGTCAAGAATGGGGCCTCATCACCATGTAGCTATAAGCAGCATGAATACAAAAACCTAATGTCAGCATTCTTGTTAGTTCTTCCATAATTACCATCAAATACTTCTAAGTACACCAGTATAATGCACTTCAGAAAAGAGTATCAAGGATCATAAATGAAAAAGATGTTTCCTCAATTTAAAAGTCCAGAAGTAGTTTAGGTCTTCAGACTTTTCAAGAGCCCTTTGCCATTACGTTTCATACATAAGAGACTATTAGCTTTGTTAGGAAACAATGCCCTAGTTCTATTCATTATATTAGATAAAACTTTATTGCAGTACAACAAATATTCTATAGATGATTGTACAGATGAGCTCAACTATAAGTTGTCAAAAAAGGGAAAGTAATTTGTACTTTAAATCCATTTATGGAAGGCCATAAACAACAGTGTATGATAAAAATCATTTCACCAGAAGTACACTCAATATAAAATACTCATGATAAAGGAACAAAGAAAGTATAAGCAGAGATCAGAAATTGTTCAATGTTATAATAATATACAAAACATAGTTTATGAAAATATTCACAGTAGGACCTGGAGGACACCTAAGATCAATGAAAGCATTTGTAACCAAGCAGTGAGTGATTAAGGACCTGACACCTTACACTTGAAGGACAGCCCATTTTGCATTGATACTTGTGTTCAATGTTTTGGTATTTGGGACCTATAGAATTCCGGGCACAGAGTAAAAAGATGTGGTGCTTGCCCTTGGGGAACTGCAAATACGGAGGCTGTGTGTGGCAGAATAAAAACATTCTTAAGTGCTTTCATTTTCTCGCTTAAATAAGCACACAATAAAAGGAAATTTTATTTAGGTACATGGAGAGCAGAATATTTCAAAGGCATATGCTGTGAATACAAAATAGATGGTTTCAATACAGTCAAATGGCTTTTGGTTATGTGCTTAAATGTATTTGTTCCTTCAGAGCTGTTAATGTATATCAGATATTAAAAGCATCTACTCAAGGTTTTGACAGTGTTTTAATAACTTAACTAAAATCCCTGACATGTTTATAGGTCCTTGAGCCAGAAATAATACAAGGCCTTTCAATCACTTTTGCAGAGAAAGATTAGTCAGAAAAGAAGCTGTTAAAAAAAAAAAAAGAAAGAAAAGAACAAGAAGAAAAGAAGCTGTTTATTTTCACTCCACATCACTGACTGATGGAAATCCAAATGGGAAACAGTAAATTACTGCCTTAGAAAATGGAGACCTTCTTGAATAAAGTTGTGGTAATTCATTATTTTATATCCCAAAGGTTGAAAAATATTCACTTTCCCCTAGAAAGGCCCTAGTTTTATTGAACTAAGCATGCCCTATAAAAATGAACCATTTATCTGATACTTGATACTTAAGTTATACTTATCTTAACATGAGCAAGTTGCATCATGTTGGAAGTCAGCTGGCTATAATTAATGTCAAGTAAGAATTTTTAATCTGAGCCTTTAAGCCACACACCCTCCCCAAGGGAAATAATTTTAAAATAAACAGTGACTGACAATTAGGTGATTTTCAAACTATTTTTTCACACAAGTCATTAGTTGAATAAGACATTGTTTAGTTCCTGAAAGTCACCAATAGCCAAATTCTCATGGATTATAAATCACAGAACACAGCAAACAAATTAGCTCCACTAAAAAGATGAAAATCGATATGTGAGGCCTAGAAACAATGACCTGTTGGTGCCCAGCCTGGGGCCTCTATATACAATTTTCCACTAAAGGAACCAGGGTTTCTGGAAGAAATGACTGATTCCTGGGCTGGAGCAGAAAAGTACATAGCAAACCAGGAATATCACCTCATAACAGAAAGCAAGAAAAGAAAATGTCAAAGCTTACTGGGGGTTGTGTCAAAAGGTCTCAGGGACCAATTTAAAGGCTCTAGTTGGCTAAAGATGAAAAAATTTGAATGTCGAAAGAATAACTGCTGTGCGGGCGCCTGGGTGGCTCAGTTGGTTAAGCGACTGCCTTCGGCTCAGGTCATGATCCTGGAGTCCCTGGATCGAGTCCCGCATCGGGCTCCCTGCTCGGCAGGGAGTCTGCTTCTCCCTCTGACACTCCTCCCTCTCATGCTCTCTGTCTCTCATTCTCTCTCTCTCAAATAAATAAAATCTTAAAAAAAAAAAAAAAGAATAACTGCTGTGGAATGAAACACATCAAGTATGTTTGTGAGTTTATAATGAGACTTTTAAAAATGATTGATTGCACACCTTTGTGAATATACCAGAGACTATGAATTGTACAATTTAAAAGAGTGAATTTTATAGCATGTGTATTATATTTTGAATTTTAAAAAATGATCACCTTTGCAGAATGGTAGAGCACCAACTCATTGTTCTGAAAACCAGTAAAGGGAAAGGTGAAGCACTGATCCTTTATGAACTGTTCCTCAGACTAAACAAATAGCTGATGAAGGGAATTTTCTTTTAATAATTCTACAAACACATGAATAAGACTTGATGGAATTAGAATAGAACCATTTTGCAACCCCAGGTGAATTAATGGATCTAAGCAATGATCAGCAATGGCTGCTAACCAGAGCGACAACTACACATATACCTCATGACAAAAGTACACAGAGCCATCAACTAAAAAAATTAAACCTTGGGACGCCTGGGTGGCTCAGTCGGTTAAGCATCTGCCTTCAGCTCAGGTCATGATCCCAGGGTCCTGGGATCAAGTACCGTGTCGGGCTCCTTGCTCAGCCGGGAGCCTGCTTCTCCCCCTGCTTGTGCTCTCTCTTTGTCTCTCTCTGTCTAATAAATAAATAAAATCTTAAAAAAAAAATCAAACCTGAACCTGATCAACTCTTTAGCTCTAACTGCCAATTTACAGGAAACACAGGGAACAGAGAAACATATCAATGAAATCACGGGGATGCAATCAACAAAATTCAGATGGTGGTAAACACTATAGGACCTGCTTTCTTCAACAAATAAACTATAGCAAAAAATTTGAGGGGAAATCAATAGATAAGAAAAGACTTAAAAGATATTATTAATCAAATGCACTGTATGAACTTTATTTCGATCTTGATTCAAACAAACAAGTGTAAAAAAATGAGATAGAGAAATGTGAACATTGGATTGTTGTCAACATGAACTGGATATATACTGATATAAACAATTTATTGTTAATTTGGTTTAGGTGTAATGATGATCTGATTATATCTTAAAAAGAGTCTTTATCTTTTAGAGATACATTATCAAAATATTTACAGATAAAAGGATATGCTACTGATGAAAGACCTATACTCTGAAAACTATAAAACACTGATAAAAGAAACTGAAGATGACACAAATGGAAAGATATATTGTACTTACGGATTGGAAGAATTAATTTTTTTTTTAAGATTTTATTTATTTATTTGACAGAGAAAGACACAGCAAGAGAGGGAACACAAACGGGGAGTGGGAGAGGGAGAAGCAGACTCCCCGCCAAGCAGGGAGCCCGATGCGGGACTCGATCCAGGGACTCCAGGATCATGACCTGAGCCGAAGGCAGTCGCTTAACCAACTGA